CCCGGGCGGGTACTATTCAAGAAATTTGATGGTTTATTGAATAGTACCCGGGGTACTTTAGTCAGTGGCGTACGGTAGAAGCCAAAGTCCTGTGATTGTAACAATGCTAAACTTTATAGAATACTAATATTACTTTTAAGAATAGATTAGAAGTATAATAAGAGCCAGCGAATAAATCGATATTATCAACGAAACGGACAACAATGTATTTTTTCTTAATAGTAAACATCAGTCGAATAATGCGCCAAGTACACTCATGTGATCAATTTTTCATTATTAAAAATAAATAATCTGTAATTTGTTTATGTATACGTCGTAGGTTTCCAAATGTAGCCCAAAATTGATACGAAATTTAAAAGTAACTTATAATAAGTTGATTCTAAATTCGAACGATAAATTTAATAGCAACTTGAGTTGATTTTAAAATTGATACTATAACTGATAATAAGTGTGTAATCGCAACGATAGTTACGACATATAAATTACATCATGTCGTCATGATAAAAAAATAATTAGTTTTTTCCCCTTATTTCACTTTTTCGATTTTTGCAACACTCTACCCAATAACCGAATTTCAAGATTATTCATTTTTATCTCGTAACGCATTCAGAGTTGCTTTCAAATATCTTAGCAACAAATCGGCTAATAGTCGACATAAACCCTTTTTTTTGATTTTTGTATTGTTTTACAAAATACAGCAAATGCAGACATAACGATCAAAAACACATGCAGGATCCTCAAAGTTTAGAAGGATGACTTAGATTCAAATCCGGCATTATTAAAAGTACGTATAATTTACGTATAATGCTAATGAATTGCTTTTACTTGACCCTGATAAGTTTTCAGACAGCCGACTTTGGATATAATGAACTTCCCTATACGAATTCTGGATATAATGAACCTAAAATTTAGAAATTTCATAATAGTTTGGTATAAAAAGTGCAATGAGTTCTTTAAAAACATAGTAATTTTCTATAACGAACTTTTTGCCATCCCACTAATCATAGATGTAAAACTTTATGTTTTTACAGTAAATTTAATTAATTTGCAATGCGTTGCGTTATGAATAAATCTGATCTTAAAGCGACTTACATCCAAAACAACGTACTCAATGAAATAATTTAGAAAGCACTTAATTTATTTATTTTGTTTGGAATCAACCTAGGCGAATTCTAAATCCACAATAGTTCCACTCTGACAATGTGAGAATTTAGTATCAATGGTATCAAAGTTTATACGATACGTATTCTAATAATAACAATGATAAATGATTATTTTCCTTAAAAATAACGTGCATTCCCGCCATGCTTCTTTAAACAATGACTGTACATTCATAACAATGATAGCTCCTTATATATTAAAAGCAAAAAGTATGCATTGAGCATAAGGATATATGATCATTATTCTCCTTGAAGGTAAAAGTTATACGTATTCTTATAAAATCTATCATCAACGTTTTTAGTAAATGTTTTTTTTCAGCAGACTTCTCTGATATTGTTCAAACGTTCTAACGAACGTTGTTAACACCATTTAAAATAGCTCAAAATTTCCTTTATTCTGTTAACGTTATTAATTAAAAGAGCTTCAAAAATAAAAGGTAAATGAAATTTAAACTTTACAACTCATTATATAAAAAATGTTGCCATCTAAAAATTGGGTTACAATTCTTGCTAATAATGTATATTCGATACTTTAATTATTTATTTGCCGTTTAATTGCATACAATTATCATTTTGAATGCAGTTAACTCTTTCTGAGATCAAGCCTGCATTTAGAAAATAATTAAGAATTGCATTTATAGAATTCAAACATACACTTTGGCAGAATTTAAAGTTCCATTAGAAAGTGGTTGCACTTAGAGAGAGTTGGCTGTATTTATTATTTATAATTTAATGTTATATTCTTAAAATTGTATAAAATAGAATCACCTATATAATTTACTGCAGGAATCTACAAAATTTCTATTTTTTGCGAAAATAATATTTCTAGAGATTCACGTTGAAATACCAATCTCCCAGCATAATATCCATTATATTTCTATGGTTGACAAAACAATAAAAATTTGATTTTTTAACTATCTTATAAATTTTAAATGAAGGAATCTTACTAATACTCCGCTTATTTTCAATGTTTAAGGCTATTTTCGAATTCTACAGATTAATGAAATTTGAAAATAGTTTTAAATATTTAAATTAACGGGATGTAATTGAGATATGTTCTCTCAAAGTTCGAAAACATGTAGATAATATTAACTTTAATACTGTAATAGGATAAAATTTACACACTTTAAAAATTTTTAATTCTCAGATTCCCATGTTGTGTGTGATGCCTAAAATTGCTGAATACAGTAATTTTGATTTATGTGTATATTAAAAAAATAGATGCCCTTATTGAAATTGACATATTTTAATATTTTACATCCGTATCATTTCACTGACAATCACTTCATGGATGCCTTTTTCACCGGCAATTACAATTCACTCACGTGATAGTGAACCTCTCGTTATAGTGAACCTCCCGTTATAGCGAACCTCTCGTTATAGTGAACCTCTCTTTATATGAAGAGCGTTTTATATAAAAACCTCTCAATATAGTGAATTTACTAATAGGCTTTCGATATAGTGAAGGAAATATCACAGCAAATCATTTCACTATAACAAGAGTGAGTTGTAATTCGAAGACAAGTTCATTTTACAGAAAACTCATTCACGAATAAGTTTATTTCACCAACAGCTCATTTTCATAGATACTTCTTTCACCAACAGATAATTTCACAGAAAAGGTTTTTTTTCTTATAATTGCACTGTGTCTAAAATTTAGCATCAAGATCACGAGCGAACCCACATTACGTATTGATTCTAGTGCGCTGCAGAGCACGTAACATTTTTTTTTTAAATGTGCGCAAACAAATAGCACTAAATATATAGATAATTATTTTGTATTTCAATAATTTTAAAACATATCTACACATTGCACACGTATTGTTAGTCTTTAAGGTGCAGAAAATTTTTGATGTGCACCTCCGCACCTTCCGCACGTTAATTTTAGACATTGATTGCATTAATTTTAACCCTAAGCCCCAATGACGATGACTAGAATTAATTTCTGAATTTGTCTGTAAATGAGCTGTCGGTGAAATAAATTGTCTGAAATGAGCTGTTGGTAAATAAAATGTCTATAAAAAAATAGTTTTAGTAGATTTCGCCGACAAAAGACCAATTTGAGTCTGTTTCACTAACAATTTAATTTACAGACATCCTAACTTACAGAATCAAACTCTTTGATAGAGAGTACCAAACAATCTTTTTCAAGATATCGTTTTACTAATTTTTGGAATATCAAAATCTTCAATTTTTAAAACTTCTAAACCATAACCTTTTTCAATAACTTTTAAGAAGACGAGGAGGCCCTCTAATTCTTCTATTTAATTCTGAATATGGCGCTAAAAAACATTTTTCGTATGAACATACGTTGAAGTAAGAAGAAAAACAAGAATAGGTATTGAATAAATGAACCATGTACCTTTTCATATACCGTAAATCCTCGAAATAATGATCATGGGCGTTATTTCGAAAATCGTATCTTCTAAAAATAGTATACCTAGTTTCAAAATAACGCCCATGCGCATCTCGAAATAGCGCGCATCTTATATACGTAGCACATAAGTAGTGATGTTGGGCGGTCTGGTCTTAACCGTTGGACCACAGTTAGTCATAAGACTAGTATAAAACTGAAAAAAATTGGTCTTTTCTCAGTCTTAAGACTGGACCAGTCTGAACCAATCTCTGGACATGTTTAAAATACTTAAATCTTTTAAATATAAATAAATAGACTGGACTATAGTTGGCCGTAATGCCATAGTATCGAAATACTGCATCGCTAAAAATGACTGTAGATAGACCCGATAGTTTCTCTAGCACACAAAGAAGTTGAGCAATTGGTTTTCTTGTCTGGTTACGAATATATGTTTGGAGGGCTATTGAAAATGAGGAATATATATATAGGTAGGTCTTGTCAATTGCCATGTTTAACTGCCAATTTTCAGGTATATTATCTTTGCACCAGCAATATGTTCTTGCTTTTAGGCAATCCAAAAATTTACATGATTCGGAATTTGTTCAGCAAGAAGTCTAGCAATATTCAATTATGGATAAATGTATATACCGCACCCGGCGATGTGCTAATTCATCGCATGCATATAAATTATAATTTGTAAATCTGTGTCAAAACAATTTTGTATAAAAAATTAATTAGATTGAAATTAGGGTTAGGGTTAGGACTAAAGTTAGGGTTAGGTAGAGTTAGTATATACCAAAATTTTGCGAAGAGTTTTTTTTGTTAGAACACAAAAGGCGGTTTCATAGACAAAATTTTGAGATATTACAAAATATCTCATTTTTGTTACATGAAATTAATTTGCGCATCACACATGATCTTCAAATTTAATTGGTCAGGCGATATCTAACTATAACGCAGGGGTGCGAAGTCTAGGAAACTCCTTCAATTATAATGATTAAAATTATAAATTTTAGAATATAGGTCAAAAATATTTGAAACTTATTTATATAATTAACAGATTCGTCAGATGATCGAAATTCATACACAACAAACACCACAATAAATCTTGATTAATAATCTCATTAAAAGCGTTCGTTATATTCAAAATTTCAATCAAACTTCTATCCAAATAAGTTGATAGAGAATGTTCTTGTTGAGCCAAATTCTCTATGGTGACTAAATCCCATCCACACATAAAATTAAATGATGATATAGTGGGTTTATCATTTTCTCTTTTCATATGAAGAATTATACAAACATGTTTAGTTTATTCTTGCAATATGGAATCATTATTATGCTTTTCAATAAGGAATTTTGCAAGTTTTATACATCCAGCATTTATGGTTGCCAGATCGCACTGTAATATTAGTAGTTCAGCCTCTGATTCTTGCCAAAAATATTTGATACGAGATTGCAGTTGAGCTTCAGATTTGAACGTTGAGATTTTATCAACTTGACATGTTATAATGTCATTTAAATAAGAACTTATATCATTAGTTATGTTTGAAAATGTATTAATAACCACTTTAAATCCTTGTTTTTCTTCTGTAGCTTTATAATTATCTAACTTTGATCGAACATATGTGAAAATATCATGATTAAATTGTTGGTAAAAATAGAATTTATACCAATGATCAACTTCTGTAGAATTTATAGATGCTAACATTGATCTTTTTGATCGCACAATTCCATCTGATAAAGCAATTCCTAATAATTGTTCTTT